AGAGTAGAGGATATTCCATGATGGTGTATACTTAAGGGAGCTTATTTCGTTATGAGCCCTCAAGCGTCCCAAAAGCACCATGCAAACTGGCATAAAAGCTGAGGTTGAGGTTCTCCCAACAAATCCCTGGCACCAACAGACTGACTGCAAATGCTCTTTGAAATTCTGTGTTTTTCAACAGTGTTTTCAGCTGCCACCAACAGATACTATAAGGAGCATTTGAAGAACAGTCAAGTGAAACTGTGACAGGTATTTAGGTGGGTGGCATGCAGATAGCTATCCTCCCCTTATTCAAACAAAAACTTTCCTACTTTCATAAAGAAAATACACTTTTAACCCAGAAAAGGAAACTACTGACTTTCAAATCAGATTTGCAGGTGTTGTCTCACATACTGCAAACCAGAGGAAAGCATAATTACTTATCTAACCAATTTATAACAGCAGATAAAAGGGTGTTCAAGCCCTATCCTTGACTGTTTAGTGATAAGGCCTGATTTACCACCAAACCCCAGAAATTTGGAAAATGACTGTAAGATAAATTTCTTCTTTAAAATATATATTAAGGAAGCAAGTTGTAAGGTGCAGTTTAACAGAGCACACTTATCATTCCCACTTGGAACTGTTGACTCAGAACAGCTCTCCCATCTTTTTCAACTCAATTTTCTGGTAGAAGCTGAGCTATGCTTCCTGTGTTCAGAAGTGCAGTGTCCTATTTCGAGAGAAAAACAATAAATTCTCACCAGGAGAAAATCTACACTGAAGACATTGAAGCACTGACAAACTCTTTCAGTTTGAAACAGCCTTTGCAGCTAACAGGTACTACTTTGTCAGAACAGTAAGAGAACAGATGATTTCCAGAGGCATAAGGAAACACTGTTCCAGTGTATGTCAGCTCAGGCTTTTGGAAGGAGTCTGAAGGAAATACAGGACCAACTCCACAAAACATTGGTAGAGAGGCAATAGCTTATTCTCCAATCCAATTTAAAATCTTAGCTGTGGTGCCCAATAGGTTTGAGGGTCTCTGCAAAACCTTAGCAAGTAACTGCTGATAACCATATTTGATATCTAGTTAAGAGCACCAGAAGTGGACAAAGAAGCAAAGATAACTTCTACAGAGTGCTATGGAAAGAGCTGTCCCAACAGGCAACTGCAGCCTGTCTGGATTCTGCCTATCATAAAGTGCCTTGTCTCCTCGCCACGCATTTATCCAGTCTGACTGCTAACCTTCCTCCTGATTCCTGGTACTTGGAGAAATTTATCTATGTGAGGAATGGCTCTTCCTCTTCTTCCCATCAGCAGAACTGTGGGGGACAACGTAGAATTGACTGCCTTGCCTTCTGCATTTGGAACAAATTTCAGTTTACAGTCCGTCAGGGCAAGCATTTGGCAACATTTGCAACAAAAAATGCATCTGTTTAGTGTTGTATGTTAATTTGCAAAGATTGATTGCTGGTGACTTAGGAAAAACAGAAAAGCATCTGCATTTTCATATTATCATAGAACAATCAGTTGGGTTGTTGTCTTTAAATCTCTGCTTTTGTTCCTATGTAATGTATGTTGGATGTTTCATGAATGTAACACTAAAAGAATCCATAACTTCTTAGAAAACAGTCTTATGCCGATGGGGCTAAATACTCATCTGTATAAAAACATGCAACTCCAAGCAAAACTCCTGAGTGGCTCTGAGCACCACGCACTCAGCCTTGCTTCTGGGTTTTGAAGACCTAGCTATTACATCACGCTGGCACATCATGCTTGTGCTCATTTCCTCTAATGTTCGATTGTGTTAAGGATCTAAGGAAAAAGCACTGTCTTAGCAATGCCACGAGTGTTTAGCATAAGCATGGCTGTTTCTATTGTTACTAGCATTTTGCAGTAGTTTTTTCCACTTCCTTATTTTTCTGCCGTTTATACTCCATTAAGATTTTTGAGGGACAGCTGTTTGCCAAGTCCTTGCCATACTGTTCACCTCTTGGGTGTTATCCTCTCTGCATCCTAAGAGAATGGCCAATAAGATCTGTGCAGGCATTTGTGTATCATCTCTCCTTTGCAAGGCCCTGATGTCCTACAGCTGTCAATCAAAACAAAACAAAAAAACAACTCCTAGAGAAAAAACAAAGTGGTATTGCTGTATGGAACCCTTAACTGGAATGTAAATCTTTGTCTGCTGCTGTAATCAAAAGTTGCACTGCTAAATTACATCCTGCTTTGAAAAAGTGAGGAAAAAGCAAAGCTGACTATATGCCAGGTACTTTTTGGAGCATGGAAGAGTTAGATGTATGCAGATATTCCCCACTACTGTGCACTGCATATGTGCATCACTTGAATGGGGGAGTCGAGAGCACTTCAAATTCAGAAGTCTGGCACTCTGCAATGTAGCAACAGACTGAGCATGAAATGGAAGTTACTTGATGACTGGAAAGGATTTAGCACATAGCACAAATCTGAATAAAAGCCTGTTGGCCTTTGCTAAGCTCTAGGATACTGCCATCATACAGCTTCTTCTAAGACAAACAGACGTATGTCTGTGCTACACCATCATGAGATAGACTGTGAGGTACTACTCTAGCCTCCAGGCTCTGTCAGATGATCTGAGGAACGTTACTTAATTACAGACTTACTCTGACTTGCTTGTGCCTCGTTTCTCCAAGCAGAGCTGTGAAAAAGAGAAAAGAAAAAACAAAACAAAATCAGCAACACTTGAAAGGGAAAGAAGAAAAAAAATGAAAGCATTCAGGGTGGCTTATCTCTGACAGGAGGCACCAGGACTGCACTGTTGATCGGGGGAGAGAGACTGCTACTGAGTACTGAGGAAAGGTGGGCAGTGGTGGAGCAACCTAGTGGCACTAGGCCAGCGCACTTAAGGTGTATACATTTTGCCTCTGTTTTGTCAAATTGACCAGCTACCAAGCATGTAGGCATCCAGAGCAGCTGTTCTGCCACTGTTCTGTGCTCTCCTGTGCAGTGCCTCAGCAGCACGTAAGCAGACAGCCCCTGGGTGCTGAACAACCAGATCATATACATCAGCGGTGAAACCCTGACCACTGTTTTATCCCCACCTGTCGTACTGTTCCATGGCACAGCTGAACTCGAGACAAAAGCAGTTTTGCATGATGTCAGTTAGGTGCACAGCCATTTCAAAATGTTTCAAGGACAGAGGGAAAGCCCTCTGTGTGAGCTGATGCCCACGTACCAGAACACACACCTATGCTTTGCATTTGCCGCTGAAAGCAAACAGCAGGTGCTGAGCACTCACACATTCTCCAAGATTATCTTAGTTAAAAGGTTCTTCAGGTTTTGGTGGAAGTTTTCTGGAAACAGAGCGAGGATGTCCTCGGCCCCCGTCAAGCCGCAGAACACGACGTGCCGGGTGAGGCTGTGCAGGGCGGACACCAGCTGTGGGAAAGAAGAGGTGAAAAGGCTCGGCAGGGCTCAACAGCATCACGGCGGGCTCTCCCTGCTCTCCCAGCAGCCGCGTGGAGTCCCGCGCGCCCTCTCGTACCTGCGCGGCCTCCTCGGGGCTGGCGGCGATGGCGGGGCAGGCGCGCTGCGCCAGCGGGCCGAGGCGGCCGGGCGGGCAGGAGAAGCACTCCTGGCACAGCTGCCGTACTGCGTCCTTCGACGACGCCTGTCGGGGAACAAAGCGGGAGGTGCTGAGCAGCGGCCCGGCAGGAGGCAGCCCCCCATCCCCCGCAGGGCTGAGCACCGCGTCCCCTCACCTTCAGCAGGCTCTGCAGGGCGACGAAGTCTTCCTCGCGCATCGCCGCCGCCATCTTGACGCCGACAGCTGAGGTGGGGGGCGCCATGTTGGGGCGGGGCCGGGGCGGGGCGGGGCGGTGGGGCACGCCGGGCGCTGTAGTCCCGCTGTGCTCCGCTATCGTGCGCTGCAGTCGGAAACCCAGGTGGAAAGCTGAGAGGTTATTTTTCTCATGTTTTGCATGCTTTGACACAACAGACGTGCAAACTGGGGATGGATATTGAAGTGCTTAAGCCTTAGCCCCGTGCTTCTAAAACAAGCTACCGTACGCATTGCTGGAGCTAAAATGCAGGGGAAGAGTGTGCACCAACTTAGCATCCCTCCTACACACGGGGCTGCAGGCTCACACAGCTCTGTAAGGGCCTCAGCACCCTTTTTGGAATAGCTGGTGTGATGTTTTTTCGTCGTTGCTGTCAATGTACTGAAGAGTGGGCACAGGAGTTCAAGCTCGCTGCAGTGCAAAGATGCACAACCATGACACTGAAAGGCAGCAGCATCCTTCACTCCCTGTCCCCTTGAGTGGCTGCAGGCTGCTTTCACCCGGAGCTCACGGTGTCTGCTCCGTGCTGAGAGAGAAACCCTGTGGGACAGCTGTGATGTAACGGAGCCCCAGAGCTCAGCCGTGCCGCATACTGCTCAGCTCACAGGGATGAGAGGTCCTGCCTCCGTTCTCCAGGCACCTGCAAGCGTTGAGCTGTCTGCTCTGCAGCACACACAAGGTAACATGTGCACTGTGTGTATGACTGTGAGCTGGGCTTGAGATACCGTGCCTTAGGTGTGTGGCTGCAGGCGTGGCCTGTGTCTGCAGTGAGAAAGGTGGGATAAAAGCCCTGAACAGCCAGCTTCTCCTTCTGATGTAACCAATTCTTCACCGTCAGGGCAAATCCCTATGTTGGATGCAGGGTTTAGCAGTAAATAAAGCTATTTTCAGCCAGCGAGAGAGGAAGGCAAAAGATTTATTGTGGCGTTGCTGCACGATATGGATCATTACCTCAGTAAACTGTGTGTGTTTTACATTTTGTAAAAGATATTCAAATCCTCTTTCTGAGGGAGAAATTGCCTCTTCTTTATCTTGTGCAATTCACAGCACATCTGGTACCAGGACACCCATGTAATTGATGGGCTTTCCCGTCACCTTTTCTGTAGAAACAGCCCATCTTCATTTTCATTTGCATTATTCTCCCATAAGTGGAATAATACGTGGTATGAAACGCAAATGTGATGTCATTTGCATTGGGCTCCCTGGGTTTGGTGGGGAAAAGGGCTTCCTCTTGCAGAGGAACAGGTTTTACTTTCTGTATTGGGGAACCTTCAAGGGCAGAAAAATCCAAAGGGAGAAGATTTTATTTTCTATCGGTTTTCATAAACAACGGGAAATGAAGCTCGGGAGAGTTTGGGAGAACAATCTGGGGGTATGAGTTTACCATCTGTGGCCTCATGGAATTAATTAGTGTGATTGATCAGTTCAGAGAACTGCAGATTGTATTTATGCTGCTTTCTCTACTTGTGTGTTACCAGTAAGTTTAATCCAGTGCAGGCAGTACATTATGGAAAGCTGAAGGTTTGCTTTGTGGAAAGGCCTTCCTGGGAAAGCTGATATGCTGCTGAATTTAGATGGCAGGACTGAGTGGGCAGCAAATCCTGTGGATGTCAATTGCTTATCCAGGTGATGGTGCCATGTAACTCAATGCTCTGACTGGAAAAGGAGAAGAAGCTATGCAGGTTATAGGAAATGTGACTTTGTCTATTCCTTCCCTAGAGGGTGAACCTGAAAGATGTTATGATGGTCTGTCTTCTAATAATCATTACTGACCTAAAGAAATACAGCAGTGTTTGTTAACTGTGCATCAGAATACATTAGAAAGTGAAGGGTAGTGTATGGGAACTGCTGAGTCACGGCCTGAACCTCTGATTGATCACCTGAGGCAAGCAATGAGTCAGCCACAGGAGCACAGGTGAAGGCAATTCACCTGTGCTGCCGGAAGGGGTGGAGCCTGGCTCCACCTCTCCTAGACCCATTTAAGAGCTGACTACCAGTGGGGAAGGATCTCTTCTGGAGATCTACTCCCCTGGGGTTTCCTACGCGAGCCCAGGATACAGATGAGTGTCCCTACATTTTCTGCCTTGATGTAACAACTATGTAGCCAAGCTCTCTGCTATGCTATAACATCTGTATATTCATTGATTGTACAGGCAGGGTTCTAATTTTTGTTTGCAAAATGAAAAGTGTGTAAAATAAATGAACTAAAAAAATTGCATTCCGAAGGAAAAATGGAATAGTTTTTTAGAGGTCAGGATTTAAGACCCAGGAAGCTGGAATCATGTCTTCTTTCACTTGAACTAATGTAGGTCATTTTTGTTACCCAAATGACAGGAAGGCAATGCAACTTTTATTAATACAGAGTTCTATATTACACAAACGTAGGCATTTATAAATGGAAGTGGTATGAAAAGACAACGCTGTAATATGATCTCTGGGTAAGTAAGTCTAAAGGAAGCATAGGAGAACTGAATACAGGATATCGCTGAAAATGTTAACTGTCCTCTTAAAATCTGCCTGCATGTTTTGTTTTCTGACCCCAAAAATCAGCATTTTCTACTATCAGAGGTAGACAGAATTTGTCTAATTGTTAAACATTCTGAAATGCTATCTCCAAGTGGGGAAACAAGTCTTTGTGTTTTGATAGGGGTCTTGTAAAGCAATCACTGTACAACAATTACATAGAAATCAGAGTGAGCTATGTCTAGATTAAGGACCTAATTATACGGAATAACTTTGTCGGATATATGGGTGGAGAGATACAAAGTGTGGCTGGGGAAGGAGAGAGGGAGCAGATAACTAAAGTTGCTGTGAAGAAACATGGCAAGGGAGAACACTTACTTGTGAATCATATATTCGGAACAAAAATATTGCCTGCCAGTAAACACAGCTGGCATCATGTCGAATTCATTCTCCAGTCCACTTCCTATTGTTGTCATTTCCTCACTGCGGAAGCCTTCTAGTTATGAGGAAACAATGATAGGTTTGTTTTAATATCAAAATGCTCCTTCTGTAGCACACAAGTAGTCAGAAGCCAACAAAAATACTTAGTAAACATGTTTCATCTGAAGGTGAATAAATTTTTGTCCTGTTTTTCTTTCAATTTTTTATTCCTTCTGTAGCTGTCCTCAAGGTCAAGAACTCCAAAGTCAAATTTCCCGATGCAGCAGGCGGTGAAGGGTGAGACTGCATCATGCAAAAAAGACTTGTCTTGTGATTGGTGTGCCTATCAGGAAGCTATGAGAAACACAAATTCAGCTATCTGCTGTGCCAGAGGCAGTTCTTCCTGAGTTTGAAAAAATTGGTTAGAGGAATGAGGAATTGGATAACCTCCTTAAGTCTACTTACAGCCCTTTTTTTTCACATGATTTCATGTCTATATTACCCAGTGGGACCCAGCTGGGAGCTCTCAGCTTGCAGATGTATCTGTGCAGCACTCTGTGCAGGAATTGGCTTGGACCTTAAGAGTTGAAATGCTGTTAGTCCAGACACTGAGTCTGAAAACTAAATTCTCCTTCTGTATAGGGCAAATTTACTTGTGCCCGGGCCTGGGTGATACAGCTATAGTGCTGACTGTTTTGGTTCTCTTGCCTGGGTACCTACAAATTGTTCTTTCTGAAGTAGTGCAGAAATGGCTATATAAGACAATATGTGGGCAATAGCAGTTCAGGGAGCTGGGTAAGTGAGCAATCTCCAGACTGTGAGGCTCTTAAATACTGGCTATAACTTTCTAAATTCAGGATCTCCCAAACATGCAGATGTGGGTGTATGGGTATGTATATGTACTAGCTGCTACTATCAGATAATAAGTACTAAGTACCTGCTTAGTACTCATACCTAACCTCTGTTTCCAGCCTTGTGAAAAACAAATAAACAAACAAAGACCCCAAACCTTCAGAACTGATAATTCATATGGAGAGAGAGGATGAGTGACCCTGGCTGGGTATTACTTGAGAAGAGCAGAGGTGAAAAGAGATGAGTTCTGAAGGGTAGGTGAGAGGTTTCTGGTGGGAATTGGAGAACTCCTGGGGTTTGGAGTGGGAGAACCGTTCTTCATTTGCCCATTCACTTAAAATAGTGAATTGTCCTTGGTTGTTGGTTTTTGTTTGTTTTTTAATCTACTGCTACCTGGCTAGCAGGTGTCATGGTTATGAGAGACATCTCTATGTCCTCTCAAGTCCATGCAGTTGTAAGAGAGACATGGATAATTACATATGTCAATAAAACAGTCATAGGCAATTTCCTTGTGATTAGATGCATCTACAGCTATCTCTGCTGGACTCTTGAGGTGTTTAAACCTCTTCCTACCTGGAAAATACTGGGAGAGAAGTTTCTTGTGTGCTTTTTTTGGGGGATGGAGAGAGAATGATACCGGATTGCTTTTGTTTGCTTTTTGTTTGTTTGTTAAAAAAAAAAAGGGAGAGGGGGAGAAAAAATGAAAGATTGACAGAGGTACTGGACAAACTGAGTGTATTAGTGCATTTCAGATCCAAAGTATTCCTCTTCTACAGAAGTCAGCTATGGTGACAAAATAAATTCCATGAAACCACAAGACAAAAATAAAGAGATGGAAAGCTGAATGGAAGAATTTCAGTAAGCCACTGTAAAGTATGCTTTATGTTTTTAGACATAGCTTATATAACTCCGATGACAGATAAACATTTTGCAAAAATGTCATCTTTGTTTTAGTCCATCAACTACAGTAAGTGCCCAAAATAAATGCATCTGACAGGGAATGTGTTGTGAGGAAAGAGCCAGTCTTGCTGTTCTAAATATATTCAAGGTAAAAAAATAGACATAAAAAAGCAATCACATAACTTGACAAAAACCATTCCAACAGCCAATCTTTTTTTTTTTTCCTTAAGAAGTAAAAAAGAAAAGGAATAAATTTAGCTTCCTTACAATTCTTGGTCGGAGAATTGTAACCTTTCATACTCCAGGAAAAGATGCTTCAGTTCTAGCACACTTTGGTTGTTTATGGCTCCCTCAGAGAGAAATCCCTTGGAATATTATGCTTT